TCTCTGAGCCTGTCACTGACAATCAACTCGTGGTCCGAGGCTAGTTGACAGACAAGGACAACATGCTCACACACCCAAAGAACTCCCGTCTCACTTTGATCATCGCCCTGCACTAAAGCGTGTTTCGTAACACAGATCTGAGCGATTGTAAAGACACATCCACCAAATACTCCCCCGTTAACTCTGCTTTAATATGACACAAGAGCCTCACGTCTGATAGCGAAGGCCTCTCCGCATCACAAGCAGTGTTCGTGTCCAAGGGAGATATCACAGAGATGGCCAGGGGCTGGACTATGTCAGTGGCACGCCACTGGGTGTGTGTGTGTATGCGCACAAAGCCAGGCCCAGTAGGCCGCTTACCCCATACTGCCTGAAGGACGTGAGTCCTGTGGGCCGTGCTGGAGCAGGCAGAGGGCCAAACTCTCTCATATTTCCAACCGGAGCCTGAGGATAGAACTGGTCACTGGAGCCACACAAATTTAAGTGTCATCCCTGAATCAAGATGCTCACCAATTTTCTGCTCGCCTTGTCAGTGAGATGGGTCGCTACCAGCGGCTAACGGAGCCAGCGGCCCTGTGGCAGCATGGACTAGATAGTGGATAATGCAAAACGCAAACATGCAGTCGAGAAATTCAGCTCTATTTGACTTTTCGTACTATTATGGGCGCATTTGTTTTTTAATCTTTATCAGCATGTACCGCAGTTGTGTAACTTCATGAAAACATTCATTTTTGCATTGCAGTTCATCAGCACAGCATTGAAGATTTTTTTTTGCCTTTTTTTATTTGAAAACTCTGCTGAACCCTCACCAACACATTAGCCGCACTGTCACGTTGGGCGCTAATTCGTCTCCACAGAAGATCTGCGAGAGAGGTTAATTTAAGGCCAAGGAGATCCCACGCACTGAGAGAAAATACAGCCATTCATCCAGAGAGGGGGGGGGGACTGCAAAGGAACGACGGTGGATAGAGAGAGAGAGAGAGAGAGCGAGAGAACGAGAGTGGGGTCAGCTGATGAGGTCAACGTTGCGAGATTTGGAGAGAGTGGGTAGGGAGAGACGCAGGTGTTTCACCAGACCTGTAGCCCAAAGGAAAAACAAGGTTTGTGTCACTGATGCGGCTGTCCCCCACATACACCCTCGCATTTCTCTCCTCCCATCATCTTACCAGTTCTTTTCATTTCATATCCTCCTTTTCCTTTCTTTCTTTTCTTACAAGAGTTTTAGAATTCAGAACCAAAATGTTGTACCTAATCTCAAATGCTTGCTGTGTCAATCTGTATCCATGTATTTTTCATTATTTAAAATCTCTGATAATGGTTTCAAGCAATTAAACCCTCAGACAATCAATCATCTCTCCATCATCCAGGCATTTAAGTGAGAAAATTGCTGGAAAGTGTTTTTAAAAAAAGAGAAGACATGCTTTATTATATCTTGTAGGCTATATCATCTGAAGCTAGGAAAATCACGTATTAACATTTTAAATGTATTTACAATGTGCTGACCTAAAATTGAACTGCTTAAAAATCCTAATTCTTTATTAACATAAAACTGCTCAAGCATCATAAATTTGCGAATGCCTGTGATCACGGCTTTCAGCATTCGAGTGTTTATGTTTCTGCAGTGGCCTGTATTCATCCTCGCCTATTACTCCACAGACCTGTCATTATACAGTCACCCTGAGTCACCCCAGGAAGTGAATCCCGCCTTTGAACGGCAAAAGGTCAGAGTAATTCTTCTGAGATATTCATTGGACTCTTAGACGGGAGCAAGGAACCCATCTCTGAGAAACAGACGCTAAAAAAGAACATGAGGCATGGGCCAAATGAACAGCAGCCTTCATTACTGATCAAATGAGGCTCGCTTTAATGACGGGGTAATGTGATCAGGGTGTGGTCCTCTGCTATCCGCTAACGTCCTGGCTGGACCAGGCCCATCTCCATCACCCAGGGGAGAAAGGCAGAGAAACTATGGGAGAACCGCCTTGGAAGCTTTTATCGATCCGGCGTAACATAAAACCAGATTTCATCTAGAAAGGGAAGGAGAAAATGTGTCAAGCAAAAGTTAAATGAAAAATTGCTTTTATATTGAGGCATTTATTATTCGAAGTCCCTCAGAGGAAGAATAAGAGGGAGAGAGAGGTACTCAATGAGAGAAGGGAGGGAGGGCGGAGAAGCAAAAATCCATTTGGTAAAGTAGATGCGGATCGATGGTGACGGAGCGGAGCAGTCTTGGCGCATGCCGTCCCACATTACTGCCCTGATTGATCTGTCGGAGTGGCAGTCTGACCCGAGGGCTCTGGAGGAGGTGTCCCACTGAGGAGGGGAGCCCACGCAAAACACGGGGAGAGAAAAATAAAAATCAATACACACAGAGAGCTTTACTGACCTGACGTTAAGATACAAGAAATGTGTGAAGCTGCATACCTGAATGGGTTCTGACAGCTCACATCCCCTCCAGCAGTTCAGTGCACAGGAGGGTTGGAGTCTCAGGCAAGTGCAGCGACCTCTGCGAACATTAAGGTGACTTGTACCCTCAGCCTGGAGACTCTATTAAGTACAAATTTGTTTATTTCTCAATCAGAAATTTTTTTAGGGGATTTAATCTAGGGTTACTTACTAGAGTCATGCTGTTTTGTAAAATGAGCTAAAAAGTGATTGAAGGAAAAGGTTATTCCCTGGCTACATCTACCTGAGAGGTATGAGTAAACAGAAAATATAGTGGAAGAACAAGATGAAATCCTCCTTTCTTTGGCTTTGAACCCCATGAGTGTGTGTGGCAAAAACAGCAAGATCATACATTCACATATATATAGCCGCTGAGGGTGACCTCCATTTTGTGGCAGGCACTCTCAGTTTTAACAGCGCCTCTGTGATGTCAATTATCCGCCGCAAGGTTGTGGGATACAGGCTGTAGGTGCGTGGAAATGATTGTGCGAGATGCTTCCGAGTCCAGCGTGGCTCCTGTTTGGGTTAAGTACGGGTTGTTTGACCAATAATGTCAAACAACCATGGATGAAGTGGCTGATTTATTGACCATTACATAAGCGGAAAAGAAAATCGTGGGAGACTTTTTTGATTTCAGAGTGTGAGGTGACATCTCTGTTTTATTTTATTTATTTACTTATTTATTTTTGCCTTGGCTACTGTGGTTAAGGTAATGGCGGACTTACTGTATGCTAAGCTAAAACCCCATGAAGTCGTTCGTCAACTGTAGTTTTCTGATGTGTTAACGTATTAGCCTAGGAATGTTTTATAACATGTTATATCATCAACATTATCAGTACATTTTCCCTGAAGAGAAAGATATTTTTAAATGCGTATATCTGCTAAAAGTCATTTTGTCAATGTTTAGGAGAACATTAGCATATAGATGGCCTCAAAGCTAACATACATAGTAGACTAATACCACAAAACTCTCATTTAGATTTCATGGGGTATTTAATATTGGTAGATATTTTGTAGAAGAAAAAAGGCTCATCAGTATATTTTTGAGCATCTACATTTAGTGTGTGTGTTTCTGTTTATGTGTGTGAGAGAGCGAAAGAGAGAGAGTCAAAAAGTTAATCTAAGAAGTATATATCAAGGGAAATGTCTTCAGACTGCTTTCCTTACATCCTATAAACTGCACTTCTAGCACATCTGACAAATGATTTAAAGAAACAAGCGTTAATTTAATTTACGTGTTTGCTGGCATTGTTTAATTGCTATGAACAACAGCAGTTGAGTAGTTTTATATTCTCAACAAAAGAAATGTAGAAAAAGAAGGAAGAGAGAGAAAATAAGACCGAGAGAGAAAGAGAACAAAAAGCTATTTCTCCATTGTTACGTATTCCATTTTTGATTCCTGTGAGCTTTGAGAAAAGGTCAGTGAAAACAGAAGATGAATTCATTTATAGTCTGTCCTCTCCCTTCTGTCGCCCGCGGACATTGATCTGTCCTCTGTAACCAGAGTAACAGTGAGCACTTTTTAAACCTTACTGTGAATGATGCACCAAAATTCTGATGCATCATTTGGCTGTCATCCCGCTTCTTGTTTTTTGAATGATTCAGCATGTGGATCTACAGCTCTGGATTGGTTAATGCAGATATGTTGTTTCATTAGAGAACAAATACACATCACATTTAAGCTGAATGTACACTGATGTTTCATCACCAGAACAATAAAAGTGTTTTGTTACACCCTGCGGTCCTCACTAAAACTAAAACCGAGGTGGCACATGAGATTAAAAAATAAATAAATCCCATGAGTCTCTTTTTTAAATTACAGACCCATGCCCCAGATAACACTACACCAAGAGCTGTCAGCAATCCACCTGCCCACCCCATCCCTCTCTTCTCTCCCTCCTCCGCTGACAGTCCATTTTTCTCTAGATCCCGACACCTGGGCGCTTACGCGAACGTTTTAAAGATCTGCAGAGGACGCCGAGCCACTCTCACCAGCCCCCCTCCATCCCTTCCGATGCAGAAGTGTCTCCTCCATCATGTAGTGCTGGATGCCTCCTATTACACTCCTCCTCTATTCCATCCATCCAACGGAAAGGTCACGCTCAGAGTCTCCCTCTTTTACTAAATTGGCTGTTTTCGCTGTTAGCTCCACGGCTCAAGCTGTGATTGCGGCAGCCTCGGTATTGGTCCTCTAAGGTCTTGTTTACGTAGCTGGATTTGTCGGAAAACCCATGATATTAAATCTACAGTCGGAGGCTTGCTGTTTTTCACAACTTGCAGTTTCTATATCCTACACAAATTTGTCTATGGCCTGGAGCGTGAAAAAATACTTCAGTTTCGTCAGCGAATAGGCCATTCCATATTTCATCCGTTCTTCGCATGCACCTATAGCACCCATTTCCATTATAGCATATATTAAATTCAAACTATTGTGTTTTTCAAGTCCAAATCAAAGCCACCTGTGTGTTTTAGTGTGCCTGGAGACCGTCAGGAGTGTTTGTTTGGTATGGAGAAAATGGGCATGTTTGAATATTGACCCTGCCCCCCTCCTGTAGGGATCGACAGAGACTCAGTGGCGTCAGGCAGACCTGCCGCAGCTCCAGGGCTGGGCTGAGAAGGGATTGCTGACACAGCCAAAGATGGTAAGGAGACTTCTGCCCACTAACCACCATTTTTAACCACATTAATAGCTATATTGTTGCTATGAAGTTGTGCTATGAGAGGGAGGGTGTGCGCAGGGGTAGAGTGAAACAGGCGTAATAATACCTTTTAAATTAAAGTTATTATTAGTATTATTACTGTAATTGTTATTAGGGGTGTTACCTGATAACATATTATAGATGGGTGTTGTATTGTCAATATGTATAATGTATGTGTAACATTTCAATGTCTTGTGCTACTAGAAAAATACTGCATATATGATTAAGGAATCACTTAAGTATGTAAAAAATATTAATTTTGTATTTGGATTGCAAGAAAAAAAAATTTTCCTCTTATACTTGAACCTGAAGATCATTACTACTGTTGTTTTCTCATAGATTTAGCCATTACAGGACCACATAAAGAGTAGACATCTATAGGAGGGAGTGCTAGCATCAGAAGGCTCCGGTAATAACTGGAGAGCATTACCAGTAAAAACACACATCAGAATAGAAGCCTGACATTTTATCATCTTAGCTAATAAGGCTATTAAAGTGCCGTGTTGAAATGGCAGGTATCAGCGACACACACCGAAATGCATCTACCTGCAGTGCTGTGAACACACAAACACACACCTCTGGCTCTGCATGACTCAGGGACATCGGACTGGTTGAACCTATATTTTTATCCCCGTCTTGACATCCTCTGAGGCACTTATGTAAGACAGAGTGGCAGAGCTTCTTCCTTCCTGCATTCATACACACACACGCTCACTCGTTGCCTGAGCCGGGCCGAGCAGCGTTCAGAAACAGTCGGCATATCTGCCATTGCGTTTGAAAAAAATAAAGGAGTGTAATCTGGGGCTACTGTTCAGTTGAATCAAAGGGAAGATGATGTCTGTCCCCCGGCTGACACCAAGGCTTTTGTGATGGCTTAGCATGTCTGCCTGTCTGCTCGCCTTGCCTGTCTGTCTGTCTAACTGTCTCCCTGCCGACTACAGCTACAGCACAAACAGATACAGCCAGCTAGGCTCTGCCTTAGCTAGCATCCAAACAACTAAAGTGTATACTGTACTATCCCAGTTGAAGGTGCAGTAGGCACATTTTTAATGCCACACATTAAATGTCCCTATTACTTAACGCTGAAATCACGCCTGTTTTTGTGACAGACCTAGGCTCTTCAAAACCTGGAGAAAGTTATCTGTTAGCATTCTCAATATCAATAGCAGTTGTTCAGCTAGCAAGTGACCTCCATGCTAAATGGTCCATGCTAACCTTGCTGTAAACAGAAAAAAAGAGAGTCAGAGAAGTTCTTTAGCTAATCATAGATGCTTTCTGCCCTTTTATGTGTTTGAGTTTGTTTACAGGCCCAAAAGCTATTCTATTTAACATGTATATAATAAAATGGATAGTTAAAATTGTAGATGTTGATTGGTCAATAAAGCATACAACCTGAGATAAAATATACAATATAACAGGGTTCAAGTACTCTACTCAAAATATAACACTTCATGAATTAAGTTGTTAAAAAATGTTTGAAAAAATATGTATTACAAATATATAATAGCCTAATTTAATATATGTAACATTCTAATAATATTTTAATAAAGTTATTTAACAGAAACGTTTTTTTGAACAAATCGCTTGAGTGAATGAAATAATGACAAACATATACAGTTCAATGATTTGTTCCTATATTACTCGGCGTTTTTAAATGAATCAGTTGACCAAATGACTCACGAATCACTCATAAAGACAGTCAATTCTCACCACCTACTGGCACAATGATAAAACCTGAAACAAATCACAATCAGTAAAAATTCCCAGTGTTGTATATCAGCACCTGATTAAATTATTGACAGATTTCTAGGCAACATGAAGCAAAGAGTTTCTTTGTTTTGTCTATTTGAATTTTGCATTCAAATCTAATCTTTAACTACTCAGGAACAGTAGTTAAGAGAAAAGAGGGAAAATAAAGAAAAGTCACTACACTGACCCCTGTCAGCAGCTAGGGCAAATGTCCAGCAATAGTAAGTGTGTAAAGGAACAATTACCCTTCTCAATATGACAACGAGGGGATTTCATCTACAGGAAAATAATAAGACAGCATATAAGAGCTAGTGAAGGGATTACAAAGGAAAGACAGGTCTTTAATTGGCCATCGAGACACAACAGGTCCCTGGAATCAGAATGAAAGGTGTCCACTTTCATCTGTTCCTTCTCTGGAATATTCAAAGCTCTCATCCCATGAGGTTTGAGCATTTCTTTTTTCTTTTTTTTTCACTGAAAGAACAGTGCACAGCAGGAGCTGCAAACAGACTTAATAAGTCTCCCCTTTTTCATGCACACATAAAAACACCAAGAAATAAACATACACACACACATCAATCAAGACCTGCTGTGGCGTTGGCTATTTTGTCCCTTTGTGTCACTCCATCCCTCTTTTGCTGCAAGTGTGGAACAGGATCCATTTACATGCATATCCTGAGAGCTTTGCAGATGAGCCTCCTATGGGCTGCCGGCAGCTTTTTTTCTATTTGTCACATCGAAAAAATGTGAACGTATACAAAGACTAAAAAATGGAGGCACAGCAATTGATCCACAAAAAGGGAGAATGCAACTGCATCTGCCCTTTTTGTAACCATTTTACAGAATCAGAGTGTAACTTAAATAAATACACACACGCATATATATACATATATATATATATATACATATACATATACATATACACATACACACACACACATATATATATATATATATATATATATGCGTTAAGGAAGTAAATAGATTAGACATTTAGGGGAGCAGAGAAATGCTGCAGTTATTTGTGATGGCTTCGTACCATACACAACTGAATAGCTTTGTTTTTAGCTTTATTCTCAAAAATACTCCAAGTGCAAACACTAGCGTGGTGTCAGATGGGGGAAAATTGTTAACCTTTCTAAATATGCCCACTTTGATCCTCATCTCTATTATTTTCCACTCTTGAATCTATCAGCAGGAAACATTAGCGCTTTTCCTTCACCCTCTCAGTGCAGATCTTGATCTGAATTACGCTACATCCAGTCAGAGAGGAAGAGAAAATGAATATTAAACATGGTTGACTTACAGAATCAGCTTAGAACGAGCTATAATCAGGTCATGCTTGCTGTTTTAATTCTTTTGTTTATTTTTTAGAGTTTTTTCCTTCTATCCTCTTTTTGATCTGAGATTTTGTCTGACAGTGGAAAAACCTTGTTGAATGTTCCTAAAAGACTGACGCTGTAAAACAAACAGCACGCAATGGAACTGTCATTACACCATGTCCTAACCAGACTCAACGTGACAATATTAGAGCAACTTGCAATTTTTCTGTCCACACTGACTGCAAAAAAATCCATAGCCAATCAGATGAATATTTACTTAAATTCCTCCTCTTTCAGTCACTCTTGCTCCATGTTTATTATGCATGAGAAGCAAAATTTTGGTCCAATAATATTTCAGCATGGCGGCGGTGCTACCCAATATGAAAAAAAAACAAATGTAGTGTTGCTTTGTCACATCATGTCTGGTTAGGACACCGTTTTAGGCTTCACCATGGCTATCCAGACAGTTAGAAAAGGTCAGGCTAGTGTTATAAAAGGTGTAAAATGAAATTTTGTTTTCAACATACACCACTGATCGACATAGTTACTTTTTCTTCCCCTGAGAAGATGTCATGGCGTGTTGCTTTCACAACCATGAAGATTTGCCCCCTAATCTGCACTCTCACACACTCTCCCTCACGCACATATCTTCCACCTTCATGACAGTCAGAATATGACACTATTCTAGATGTCACCCAGCCCCCTCAAATAGAGTCGGGTGACAAAATTAAACACACATGAGCTCACACATAAACATCCTTCATGCAAATGTGTGAATACATTTAGCAGCGGTGTGGAACAATCTTGAAATAAAAAGTTTGAGGCTGAAAAGCAGCACAGACTGGGGCCTCTGTTCCTACTTCCCCAGGGCCAGCAAGCTTCTCTTCAAACACCTGCTCTTAAAAGCGCACGGCTAAACCAGTGGCAAATGCTGTTCGCCATGACAGTCGCTCCACGCTGAAGGGCTCACATTGTTACCCTGTCAAGTTGAGCCAACCATCAAAACGCACAGCTAAACTCAAAAATATCAGTGATGGGGTGAGGGGGAGGGAGGGTGGAAGAAAGCTACTGAAAGTCTAGAGATGCATAAACAGTTTTTCAGTAAGTGTGTCATGCATTGTATTATTTAGAGTCAGTCTGTGAGGTTTCGCAGCTACACCAGATTATTCCAAACCCCTTTATCTGACATGTCAGTAACTTCCACAAATTTTATTTAAATGATTAAGTACTCAATATATAGGAAATCAGATATGTCAATACTAAAATATGCTGTTTACTGAACTGCTTACTTTTCAGATGCCACAATCTTTAACCCTTCTTTTGTCTGCAGATAATCAGCAACATGGAGCCTCAGGTGACGAATGGGCCGAACTCCGCCACGGCCAACGGGCCCTCCAGCAACAGCCGCAGCTGCCCCTCGCCCATGCAGACTGGCGGCTCTAATGACGACAGCAAGACAAACCTCATTGTCAACTACTTGCCCCAGAACATGACCCAGGAAGAGTTCCGCAGCCTCTTCGGCAGCATTGGCGAGATTGAGTCCTGCAAGCTGGTTCGAGACAAAATCACAGGTACTAATAAGGGCAGAAAAAAGCATTATGCATTTGATTTGCATAATGAACTGTGTCAAGTGAAGACAGAAGAGACACAATGTCTTGGGTATTATAGGTTAAAAAGAAAAACTTTGGAAGGAAGAGTCATTAACTTTTAACCCAGCTCTCAATTGATTAAAAATGTTAATGAAATGAATTGCAAGAAATTAATTGCATATTTAAATAATAGCTGTTGAGAAAAGAGTGAATAGATCATATATATATATATATATATATATATATATATATATAGGTGCATCTCAATAAATTAGAATGTCGTGGAAAAGTTCATGTATTTCAGTAATTCAACTCAAATTGTGAAACTTGTGTATTAAATAAATTCAATGCACACAGACTGAAGTAGTTTAAGTCTTTGGTTCTTTTAATTGTGATGATTTTGGCTCACATTTAACAAAAACCCACCAATTCACTATCTCAACAAATTAGAATATGGTGACATGCCAATCAGCTAATCAACTCAAAACGCTTTCCTTGAACATGACAACCTATTTTCACAAATATATATGACTCGGCCTGGAGGACAGACACAAGTAATCGCACGTGCTCAGTCGATCTCTCTCTCACTGTCTGTTTAGGCTTGTTAAGTGCAAATCTACGGAGCCTCTGTACAAATCAGCATAGTACACATTATGTTATCATTACTAACTTGTTTAATATTCAGTCCACATGCATGAAGTGTAAAACGAGAAGGGCATAACCTTACGAAAAAATAAAACACGGAAAAATCGAGGTTGCTTGCATTCCTCTGCGGTTTGTTCGTCAATAGCGCGGTATTGCGATATTGCGGTTATCGCGACAGCCCTAGCCACAACACACAGACGTGTCAAAGAATTTGGCTACAGTTGTCGTATTCCTCTTGTTAAGCCACTCCTGAACCACAGACAACGTCAGAGGCGTCTTACCTGGGCTAAGGAGAAGAAGAACTGGACTGTTGCCCTATATATATACACATACACAGTTATTAATGCATTATATATTCATTCATGATTTGTGTGTATATATTAATACTGTATGTTAAAAAATACAAAATGTCATAAATTATAATAATTAAACCGAAATCATGATAAAAATTAAATTTATTAGACATTTTAGAAAATTCAGCATTTTGAAGGTCTGTCCAAAATCAACAACCATGTATCTTCACATAAAGAAATGGGACAAATAAGACAAATCAAATTAAAAGTTCTGTTTGATGCAGTTGTAGCAGGTCAGACTGCCGTTTCAGGGCAATTCATTTTGGGGCTATTGTTTTGTTTACAGTGCCCAGAGAAAAGGAGGAGAGAGAAAGAGGACATAGAGGTGTTTAAGCAGCACTCCCCTGCTAATCAGAGTTCTAATCCCACCGTAGTGACTATGTGGGTGGTAAGCAGATGGATGGGGAGGCTGCTCAGAAATAATGCCAGATAATGGCCTCCATTTTATATCCTACTTAGTGACACTTCGCTCTGGATAATCTCATTAAAACAGGGCCAGGCCTAAAGCCACTGGTTTTTAGACAAAAGGGGAGAGAGAGAAACTCTTGGCTCCTGACCACAGGTTTTGTAGGATTTGATTGCCAGGCAGTCAGATGGTCGGGCAAGAGAATCGTCATTAGAATCGTCGTCATGAGAGTTGACACATGCTCCTTTTTTCAGTCTTTACATGTGGGAAATTCACTGAAGTCTTGGGATATCCTTGCATACACTAAATAGAACATGTTTTATTAAATTGCCGGTTGTGAAAATATAACGTTAATCAGGATCACTCACTGTCTTACCGCTCTGGCCTTGTTCTGGCTCAGGAACACATAGTGCATCACAAATACGACTCTTCCCTGTACTGCACTCTTTGCTCTGGGATCCCAGGGGTGCAATTTCCCAGTTCAGAATTTTAAGCTAACAAATCGCTTCTTGATCATTGTAAAAGCAGAGCGAGCTAGGCTGCGAGTTCTGTCTGCTGCCGTCATTAGTTGCTGTCTGGGGTTCAAAATAGATTGCGGGACATCAGAGATTGTATCTGAACCTCCATGTCATAATATTTGACCAGCGCAACCTTCCTGAGCTCTCTGCTTGGCTTTAATCTATAGGGTATGGACGTCGATGCGAAGTCACTTCTCAGCTTTTCAAAGAATTTTGACGTACAAGAGAGCCTTTTACATGGCAGTTGAAAAGCTAGAGAGAGACAAGGTGAGAAGCTTTGGGCCTTTGCACATAATAGACAGGCTTCTTCTTTTCCCTTTTTTTCCTTCCCCCACTCCCGTCAGCTTTGATGAGACGCAATGCAGTGATGTACTGTTTGCCACGGCTACTGTTCTCTTGCCCTGTCAAGCGTGGGTTACTGTCGCTTGCCAAAGTGCCACCCCAGATTGTTTATCCGTCCTTCTCTTTCCTCTCCTTGCACTTTTACATACACGCATGCTCTCTCATCACCTTCTTTCTGACCTCTAGCTGTACGTGCAATACACCGGAGACCTGAGGTTCAATCTTTTATTCAATGTAGTCATACACATATGGATGTTTCGTCAACTATGGGCACTCTAAGGCCCTGTGGCCTTTTTAAAATGTAAAACTCGCTATACAAACTAGTCTGCTAACAACAGAGTTGTTTAAAAGTTGAAATACATGCATCAATGTGTCATTTCCCTCATCTCAAACAATCATTCGATTGAAATTATATTTTAAACCTTTTGGAATTAAATTGGTCAGCCTTTGTTTTGCTGAAGCTAATTTTATAGCTAACATTTGACATGTCCTAAATACACATTGTTAAATATTTCATGGTATATGTGCTTGATTGGTATCTAAAAATAAATAAAAATAGTCTATTCAAAAGAGAAATACAAATAAAAATAAATGTAAATTTTTATGGTGGACTTTCATAGTTCATGATTGAAAGTCTGGGTCTGAGCAAGGGTAAAATAACAAAATCTGTACATAAAAGGGTATTTGGAAAAATAGCAAAAATAAATAATGAAGGCATAGTAGGGTTTCCCCCCCCCAAAAAAAAAAATCAAATATGATCATTATATAACAAAAAACTGAAAATAACCTTACGTTTTAATAGAAATAATGTCATTCCTCTGACACATAAGTCCCCATAGTTGAAGAATACACATTTGTTTCATTTATTGACAAAACACACAAAAAAACACATCCCTGTATTTTTGTTGATTCATTGCACAAGTAATTCTAAGAATAATTTATTTCAGTGGGCCAATATTTATCAGCGATTATGTAAACTGTCAGCAGAAACGGCTTTATCACATTCCTCTCAGTGGGGAAAGCATTTCAGAAGTCATTACCGCAAGTATTGTGTCGAGATGCCGAATAAAGCAGATGGCGATGCTGCTAACTTAGTGGAAAGCCATTGTTTTTAAAGGTTTGAATCAGGCTGAAAATCCCCTACTCTAAATGAACACATCCCCAGCCCAGTGTTGCTACCTCAGCAACACCTCGTTCGCTGCTAATAGTTAAGATAAACACAGAGCCCATAGGGAGTAATGGTGATTTTCTTGTGAGCCAGGAATCATATTGAATGGAAACTTTTAATGGAATACATTAAGAAAGTGTTAACACTTCTGGCTATCAGCACAAATCAAAATGGAAAAGACTGATTGAGCAGCGGTTCAAAAGGGGAAAAGAACTGGACACTTGTCAGGTTCTCGGGCTCAGCGGATCCTTTTCTGCGTGAAAATGAACACAATTGTGTTTATAATGATACGGCAGAAAAAAAGACACTCAGGCAGGGCCGTGAATTGATTGCGTCTGTGATTTTCCATCTGATGAGGAGAAGGGGGAAAAAGAGCGACTGCAGATAATCTTCTGTTCATATTCTTCAAGCAGTAAATAATTACCGCACGATTAAAAATGGCTTCTGAGAAACAGCGCCAACCCCCCTCGCACCAGCCCCCTGCAGTTTAGGCCTCTCCCTGTGTAGCAGAAAAGCAAGCGGCACATGCTATCGCACCCAGCCTGCTTTGTCTCCTGCCATTTTGCTTCCTTATTTTCCCCAATCCGCAGATGCCATTGTTGGTATTTAATGGATTGGCACAGGCGGCGGTGCTGCTATCAGTTCGCTCTGTGTTTAACACATATGTAGCTTACATCAAAGCTGCTTTGTGCGACTGCTTGTTCAGGTACACAACCCACTCGCACGCCAAGCACCCAACCATCTGTCACGCTGCTGACCCGAACGTGGTGTCCTCTGTTTGCTGCCAAGCGTAGCACGTGCTAACCTTAGCGTCAAGCTGAGCCGACATGGATACGGAGCCATATATGACTTCTGTCACTATACTGACCAGAGAGCAGCTTGCTCCTCCCGCTAGCAAATTAACGACGGCATGTGATTTAAAGCCAGAAAGACATCTTACCATTCCTTCGCAGATGTGCTGGAACTCTCACCATCATGCTGATGAAAAACTGCAGGGAAAAGCAGATGTAGTGGCATGAAAAATTCATTGTGCTTGATGTTTGCAAAAGCACGTTGAGGTTTGAAACACCTCGGTAAGTGTTAGACTGCTGTGAACGTGTGGAAAACCTCCATGTCAAACATTCGCCGTGTTTATCTGATGCTGTTGAAATAAAACATCAATGGCTTTCCATGTTTTGTCATTTCCTGTTAAAAACAGCATAATGCCGAATTAAAACAGCCCAACACATGCAACACGCCATCTAAATGGCAAAATTGTACAGGGTATTGGGGGAGAAGTCTGATAGAATAGCAGGGATTAACAAGCGTAGTGATTGCAGGGAACACACACTTCCTCACATAATTCAGTGTCGTGATGTGTTCCGCATTCAGCCTGGAGTAAACAAAGTAAATGATAGGTTGTCATTCAGGGTAAAACATTCAGACCTCATTTACATTGTTTGACAATGAACTTTTTGTCACCATCCCAAAGCCGCTGACAAACATGAGCACAGGAATAAACCAATCACCTTCTGTTTAGGTTTTTTTTCCTCCAAAGAAGGCTATTTACC